ACACACACACACACACACACACACACACACACACACACACACACACCTTCCTAAAAGGACATTGACAGTACAGGGCAGGGTTTCTGCTGAGCAAAGACGTTTCAGCCTTCAGTTTCTGTGCCACAGAAACAAGGGTCGCAGGCAGAAATGCGGAGTGACCTGAAGCTCGGTGGTCCTCCACATGTGTCAGGGCTCAGTGAAGGGGTGAGGTGACTTGCTGGCTTTTGCTCCAGGTTTCATCCAGGCATTTAAGTGTCGTGGCATCTAGAAGAAAGCCCTTCTAGATGGATTTAATTTTGTAGTGGTGTTAAGATTGTGCAGAGACCCAAACATTTACCCTGACTTCTCTGGTTTCTCCATCCTTCTCATTCCTGGCCTTTGCTGGCAGATGGGTGACCTTTCTCATGTCTTAAACTGGACTCCAGCACATAGTCTTTTGTTGCTTGAAGGACTTCCGAGGCAGGAGATTGACTGAATCGGGTGAGAGGCGCACTATCTGGACAGTAATGTGCACTCAGCGCGGCGGTTGCGCATCTGGTGCTGGAGCGCGCCTGCAGCGCAGTTCCTGGTGAGAGCGTGGCATTGGGATGGTGGTATTGAGCCAGTACATCCGAGAGTGCTGGGCTTCTTCTCCCCGCGCGGGGGCACCAGAGCCCTCGAAAGTGTCAGGCACTGCGGCGCATCTACCGGATTCCCTTTTAAATGACTGCGGATATGCGGGCAGTCAAAGCCGCAAATGGTGAGAAGAGGCTCAGACCTGGCTCGCGAATGGCCCATAGCGGTCATTTAATTGCACCCGCGCAGCAGTTACGGTTTGTCACTCGACCCTCCGGAATCGCCTCATGTGTCCCCAGTGAGACTCCAGGGTGCTGTCGGAGCCCGGCCTCTTGATAGCTGGAAGCACATCCTGCTGGGGGCAGCGCGGGCTCAGGGTACGCGTTCGCGCACATGCGCGCGTGCACATGAACACGCACAAGGTACGGCCGGGCAGGGGACTGGGGCTTGGGTGCCCCGCGTGGAGGTGGGTGTCGTGGGGAATGAAGCTGTGATCTTCGAATGGCAGCATCCTGCCAGGTTAAAGAATAAGAGAAGATGACGCGGAGCCGCCCACTCCACAGGCCAGGGTCAGTGCAGAGCATTTAGGGAACCCACTGCACGGCAGGCGCGCTCCCTTCCCCACACTGGGCTCTGTCTATGGCGCAAATGGCTGGAGAAAGGCCCATCAGAGCTACACTTGTGTCTGCAGGCTCCGCTCTTTAGGCAGAAATCCCGTCAGGGAGAGCTTTGAAACCACCCACCCCTAAATAGGTGGTCTGGAACCGGGCAACGGTCCTTGGTTGCCAACGCACCTCATTATATATTTATTTTCGTGTGGGGGGTGTAGCTTGCCTTTTCTATATTTTGGGACTAGCTTGCTTTCCCTTTTGAGCAGGGTGGGAAAGGAGAACGCAGCGGGGAGGGAGAGGGAAAGGGAGGATTCCTACAATAAGAATCAGTGCATTTTTTCAGAGCCTAACCAAGACCGGCTTCCATTTCAAAAACCGGGAGCTAGCCTCTACTGCGGTATGGAAGAGATGTAAGAATTAGGGATCAAGGAAGCATCCAGCGGCGCAACGCTGCATTTCAGAGGTACCTGGGTCTAAAGGGACACACACACACACACACACACGCATGCACGCACGCACACGCGCACACATGCACACCCGCACAACTATCCCGCCAAGGTGTGTGCGTGCGCGCGAGTGTGAACTCCCACATGCTGCTGTCTGCGCCTAGCCGCTGGCACCAAGCCTCCTCCTCCCTGCTCGCCCCCAGATTCCCTCCCCTCCGCCTTGCTTTTGTCTGGAGGGTGCTATGCTATTCGTGTGTGTGTATGTGTGTGTGTGCGTGCGTGTGTGTTTTTGGATTTCATACTAATTTTCTGGAGTTTCTGCCCCTGCTCTGCGTCAGCCCTCACGTCACTTCGCCAGCAGTAGCAGAGGCGGCGGCGGCGGCAGCGGGTTAGAGCCCAGTTGCTGCTGCTGCTGCTGCTGCTGCTGCTGTTGCTGCTGCACTCTGATCCCTGCGCTTGGGGCCGGAGGCCGGGTGAGCCTCACGGACAGTCCTCGGTGGCCTCGGCCGGCACTGTCCCTCTGCCGCAGTTGCTCCCCAGGTGGGACGTGCCGCGCCACCTGCCCGCTCCCCCCACCTCCCCGCGCCCAGCAGCCGGGGAAGATTCTGCAGCATCATTGGGGCCCCGTCGCCGCTGCAGGCTCCGAGTCCTCTTTAGAGGGTCCTTGGCTTGGCCTGTGCCATGGGATCTGCTCTAAAAGACCCTTTCCTGACCTCTCCTGCCTTGGCCTCAGGCTTGGAGGGAGGGCGGGCACACTGGGGGGCCAGCGTGGGACAAGTTGATTCCGGGGCGGGAGCTGGGCACTCAGACATCCATTCTACAGGCTTGGGTCTGGTGGGGGGTGAGGAGAGCACCGAGGGACTGTGTCCCAGTTGGTGGTGTGTAGTCACTACGCTTAGCTTAGTCTCATCCATGTCTGTTTGTCCTCAGCCCTGAGGTGCGCACCGATATCCGTGCCGGTTTAGCGGTTCTACGATCCAAAGAGTCCAGGGAGATCCACCGTGTGGTGCCTGGCGTGTAGGACGATGCAGCCGCCCTGTGGCTTGGAGCAGCGGCCCACGATGTCCCCGCCACTGTGAACCCTTTGGCCTGCGCCAACCTGCTCAGCCCAGCAGGCTCAGCCTCTGGTAGGCTCCACTCCACGGGAGGCCACCGGCACCGAGCAGCAAGAGGGCGCAGGACAGCCCCCCCTCCGGCGGGGGACGCCAGGCTCAGCGTAGGGACAAGCACTCCGACTGACTGGCACTGGCGGCGAGGGATGTCGCCCTGGCCGAGGTGGCATGGACCCGCCATGGCGCGGCTCTGGGGCTTATGTTGGCTGGTTGTGGGCTTCTGGAGGGCCTCTCTCGCCTGCCCCATTTCCTGCAAATGCAGTGCCTCTAGGATTTGGTGTACGGAGCCTTCTCCTGGCATCGTGGCATTTCCAAGGTTGGAACCTAACAGTGTCGACCCGGAGAACATCACTGAAATGTGAGTTCCGTGTACTTTTTCTTCTTTCTGTCCTCCACTTCAGGGCTTAGGCAGGAATATGCCCCAGGTGTGGATGCCTTCCCAACCACAGGGATGGCATCTGTCAATTACCTGTCCGGGTCACTGGTTTATACCAGCTGGTGAAGAGCGACACTAAGATTCCATATATAGAGAAATATAACCATAAATGCATGTATATTCTGTCTCCACGTGCATCTCATTTCAAAGTTGTGAAGGGTGTGTTTCAGGCTGTACATACATGATAATTATAGTGGAGCATTCTTGTTTGGTCAAATACTGTTTGTGCTGTGTGAGAAGTTTCAGTAATATTTACCAGAAAGGGGGCTAAAATCATGGACTTTCAGAAACCGGTGGAAGGAAGTGAGGCTCTCTCCCTTGACACTTTTCCTAAGCTTTGGGGTTGGACCACTTACCCTTTTTGTATCATCTATCAGATTTTGCCGGGGTGATTGCTTGCAGGGACGCTCTGAGAATGCACCGTAAGAGGAGTAGTTCTGAGTGTCGAAAAGCACTCGCTCAAAAGAGAAAATGTGATCATGGGAACCTAAAAGCCAGGGTTGATTTAATTTGGACTTGACTTCTCAGAGATATGATTTTGAGACCATTTGGATTATAAATCTTAATTGCCCGCTGAATAATTCTCTAGGACTAGACGGGGTGGCAAGGCAAAGCCGAGTGTACCCTAATGGATGGTAGCTTTAGCCTGGGATCTTCCTGTCCCTAGAAAGGTTACAATTTGTCCCATCTTGATGGAGAAGCAGAGAAATGTATTTCTTTTCTTTCTATTGGATGTCTTGTGACAAATACACTCCAAACAGGAATTCAACAGCCCTTTCTCCAGATTCCGAGGTCACCTGCATTTCCTTTCCCAGCGGTTTTGGCGTTTATGTCTCATGAACACAAGGTTTTATTCATCTGGGTAGAGGAGTATAAAGCTAAGTTTCCTGGGTGATCGTCACAGCGTTTGAGACTGAGAAAAGCAGCCCTGAAAGTAGGGCTTGGGCTGTGGCCTTCCGGTTGGCGAGTGCGCATGCACCCCCTCCCCCCAATGTACAACAGTGTTTTCTGCCAATGCGTCTGCCAATGCCAAAGGCATAGGATAACCTGTTTTGTTTTTTTAACGTAAGCAAGAGTCCTTTTTAATCTTGCTGTTCTGCTGATGGTGACAACGCTCTAGGACTCGGGTGGAAGGAAATGACAGTCGAGTAGAGTGTGCAGGCCCGGCATAGCTGAGCCCGATCTGTGAACAGCTGAGTCCAAGGGCCAGATTCCCAGTCTTTGACAATCCCAGCATCCCAGTGGGAGCGTAGGGTGGGTATGGCCCCAGCAAAGCCTGCCCAAAGCTGGGATTGTCTGAAGAGTCTGTGGCCTTTCTCAGAACCCTTGCCTTTCCGAAGGCAGATGTCAGATAGATGGAGGGGCCTTGTGGGTCTTAGAGCCTTTCTGGTGCTGGGAGACCAAGAAGGTACATTTACAGAGCTAGATTCTGCAGCCTTTTAAAAATTCGATGATAGACATTGAATGAGAGAACTGAGACACAGTGCTTGCTTCATCAGTTGTTTCACGCTAACATTTTAAGTCCAGCTTGAAAAAAAAAAAGAAAGAAAAGAAAAGTATCTTTAAGTTAAAAGAGCTCTACTGTCAACTTTCCAGAGCTTTCTGCCTGATGAACACACGAAACCAACAGTTTGGATGGAACATTCTAGGTTTTTTTCTTCTGGATGATGCTACTTCTTTTCACGTGAAGGCAGCTTCCCATTTTTTTTTCAATATTTACTAAAGCCACAGTTGTTCAATCTATGGTGACACCCCGGTTCCTAATCTGGTCTGATATTTCTCCCTCTGATTTGGAAACCCATTGGTAGGGGGCTGAGAACTGTGTGTGACTGAGGATTCAGGATGCAGGAGAAGGCTGGTGATACCCATCAGGCTGAGGAGTGGCAAGGTCTGGAGAAGGCATTTTTGTCTACTTATTCCCTCCGTGGTGCTTGAACCTGCCGATCGCACACTTAGCATCTTTATCTGTAAAATGTACTGCAATCCTTCTTTGGAAAGCACCAATTATTTTGAACTCAATATCAGTAGTTGAGTTAGTTTCATTCTCAGCCTAATATGGCACATCTGTGAACCCTTTCCTTCACGCCAGCGTTTGTTTGAATGACTTGACCAGAGGATACAAGCTAAAGTTGGAACTGAATTCCATGCTTTAAAAACTTTCTGATTTGGTCCAGTACTATCCCTAATGTAGCCTGGGCTAGCACTTGAGTTTACCAGCCTACTGCTAAAGTTACGTGTTTCTGGCCTTTGAAAAAGGGAATTACGGATACCTGTAATCTGCCTTCAGAACTTGCTAAAGCAACAACTGACTATATACATTGAAAGATAATGTGTCTTTTAGTGTGTGTATTTTCAACCACGGTGTGTGCCCCTTAGGGTTCTCTCTAGAGAAATATCAGAATATTTTGAAAATATATGCATAGATTAGCTAACAGGTTTGTTCAGAGTTGAAGTCAACTTGACTCTGTAATGTCAGAACCATTGTTTGAACCTATTTTATTAGAAATCTCGGTGTCACAGCATGTCTGTGACATTTTTTTCTCAGCTGATCTGCCTAGATCCGTATTTCTCTGTGAGGATGGCTAATGTATGCTCAGTGTCCATTGCCAGCTGTTGATGTCTGTACATGGTTAATGCCACCATGGTGATGTCACATGGTGGTGCACTGTTGCTGGGATTATGGCCATCTAGGTTTCCACACTGTGTCAAATGCCCAAGTGTATTGCAAAGGGCAATGTTAAGTCTCATCCAAGTGTGAGGTAAAATACACAGCCGAGCTTGCCATCTTAATTTATAGTTAAAACCAGCTTACCATGGTAAACTTTTGCTTTCCAATGGCCAGGTCTGTAGCATTCAGTAATCCACATTGTGGGAGTCATGCGTTTTAACATGACATGTGTTTATGGTGGCCAGTAGGGATCCTTTTCTGGACTTCTTGAGTGGTATTCTCTGAACTGGGGGCAATGATTGGAACCTAGTCTAATATTTCTTTCTCTTAGCACAACAGAAGTAGAATTCACAGCTTCTATTGCCAGACCATCTATGTGCATTTTACCATTGCCTGGTTAAGCACAGTAATGCTGTGCCATTAATACATTGATTTTGGCCCTGGTACCTTAATAAGCTTTGCTATTGCAATTAATTGTGTTTAAAACATCCTGGCATTCACAAAGATTCAACCAAAGGCATCAATGTGGTATCCACTCGGCAGCTCCTCCACTGATGATTCTAGAACTTCAGGACGCAGTTTTTCGGCATTTAGTTTTGAGTGTGGTTGCACAAGTCACACTGGACTTTTTTGATAACTGCAAAGTTAATCATTTCTAAGACAATCTGCAAGCCAGAGGTGAAACCTTGCTGTCCACATAGTGAAGGTGTGCCCATCTCTCGGCTCAGCAGAACCGTTTGGAGTCTTTTCAGTTTCACACCTTCCATCCCCTTCTGTTGTGCTGGGTAAAATGCCCCGTGACCCTTGTGACCCGACTCTCTCCCACCTCCCATCATTGGATGTCCAGGAAAATGTGTTTGATTTTCTTCTTTGAAAAGTGATACTTCCTTATGGGAATTCAGAGTGCTTGGAGTCAAGAGAAGAGCTGGCTTATATATTGTTACAAGCAAGCGGTGGGAGGTTGAAGCAAAGTGATCCCAGCTCCCTCATGCTGCCTGTAGGTCTGTTTAAGGTCATTCGCTGCTTCCAGCCCATAAACCTTCCGTTGCATCTCTTCCAGAGTTGTTGACTAGGGTGAAGAGCTGGCTGAGCAGCTGATGGTTGAGCCTCTTTCCCCTTAGGGACAATCCATTTGATCTCTGAGATCTCTGACCATATCTAGGCTACTGAAGGGTAAAACCTAGAGTTTTTGTTTAGTTGGGGAAGGAAAATTTAATTTCTCCTCATCACATCACTTTTTTTTTTTGCATTAAGTAGCAAGCCATTTTCCCCGGTTTGAACTTATTGCTCATCTATTACGGAGAGAAACACTATCAAGCCTTTACTGGGGACCATACACTGCCATAATCTTTAGGCCACCTTGGTTCTTCTTCATTGCTAGAATGTTTCTTGTAAACAAAAGCCATGAAGTAGAATATGGCATTGCATCTGCCAGCCCTTTGAGCAATGTTAGTATCTAGTTCGTCTTGATGACTATAAATTAGTATGGGGATACAGGATAGAAGATATTATTTATGGATGGCAGAATTTTTTTGTTTGGCTGGTATGTGCATATGTTTATATGCGGGGAGGGAGGGAGGGAGGGAGGGAGGGAGGGAGGGAGAGAGAGAGAGAGAAAGAGAGAGAGAGAGAGAGAAGGAGGGAGGGAGAGCTCGCACAAAAGAGCCTAGAACCATAGATTCTAGTTGCTTGGTCATTTTTCATGATCTACTTTGTCAAGCTATTTTCAATACAAGTCTCAGCCTGCTGCCCCACATGGCAGAGACCGGAGCACTAAGGCAGCCTGATAATTTTAGCCCCACGTTTGATTGCTGGTCGATCTCCATTAAAAAGGCAAAGATCCCACACCATCAGGATTCCCCCCACCACTCACTACACTCTCTAGAGTGTCCGAGAGATTGGGAAATCATAAATATTGATCTGGAGATGAGTGCACGAATATTCCCCAAGTTATCACTTCTCTCCACAGAGAGACAGCATGTGGACACTAAGTTCTTTCTGCAGGTGTCATGGAGACAGGAAGTGGGACTTTCAGGATCCCACCACAGACATCACTAACTGGTTACCCTGTCTCGAGGACTCTGGCCTCCTTGTAAGTGGAGAACTTTGCTTTTAATGTTCAGACGAGCTTCTCCTGGCTTTATAGCTCCCGGAAGCTTCAGCTAGGGACCCACCGGGGGCTCCAGTCCCGGCACCAGCAGTGGAAGAAGAGAGGGTGCCCGGTGACTCTCTGAAAATCTTTATGTCAGAGTGT